ATGATAGCACAGACTGGTTTCTCAAATGTTTTTTAAAAACTCAATCTCACTGCTTTAAATTCATCGCTAACACATTCTTATAAGCATATTTGATTCAAAATGTCTGTCCCTTAGAGACTCCTCAAAAAACCCCAGCTGCTGTCAAGTTCATTCCAACTCAGTGACCTCATGTGTGTCACAGCAGAGCTGTGCTCCATAGGGTTTTCAGTGGCTGATTTTTCAGGAGGAGACTGCCAGACCTTGCTTCTGGGGTACCTCTGGGAAGACTCAAAGCCCCAACCTTTCAGTCAGCAGCCAAGCACAGTAAGCATCTGCAATACCCAGGGTCTCTGAAAGTCATCAAGGGCCTCATAAATTGCTATCAACAAACTGTCACCCTTACTTTCAAATCAAAAGCTGTCAAAACAGATTTTGAGAGAAGAAACTGAACACATCTTCCTAGCATGTCAGAAAACTCCCATCTCACACCAAGCACTGCAATGGGTTCTATGGAGAAACCCAGCAGAAAGTAATGCCAGGTTAAGGTGCACACACGTGGTGTCCGAGCAGACTGAACCCCAGAAGTCTTCCTAGAGAGAAGGAGTTCAAGACACTGGAGTCCCAGTAGATGGACTGGCATGCACATTGTCAGTTTAAACTCTGTGCTCTCCATAGACCTTATAGAAACCAGTACTCAGGAGGTGAGGAGGCTACAACAACACCAAACTCACTGTTGCTGAGTCGGTTTCAACTCACAGTGACCCCTCTTGGGTTTCCAAGGCGGTAGCTCTACAGTAGATTACCCAGTCTTCCTTCCAAGGAGCTGTTGGGTTTGAACTGCCAGGCTTGTGGTTAGCAGTCAGATGCCTTAGGCACTATGAATAGAAACAATCTAAATACTAAACAAAGGAATGGTTGATAAATTGTGAACCTTGCACATAGTAGAATAGTAAGCATAATATAATGAAACCCGTGAGAGCTGGAACTCAATTAGACTGCCCCTTCTTTTTCTGAGTTTTTTAAAGTTTTCTGCCTTTGAAAGGGTACAGCCTAACTACTTTTCTATCACTTGTTTTATTTATTCATTTATTTTCAACTTTTTATTGTCATTTGGGTACAGTTTTACAAAGCAGATTCATTTTACGTTCAACAGTTCATCTACATTTTATTTCATGACATCTGTCTCTCATTCTAGTGGAAAATATTTGGGTTTTCCTTCTCTGACAGGTTTCCACCTTACACAGGTTTGGGCTTTCACAGGTTTTACTGTATTTAAAAGACTGAGACAGAAAAGCTGTATGTGCTGATCTGGACTAATCTACAAAATAAATTCGTAAGTGGAAAAAGCAAACCATTCATAAAATAACCTAATTTGGATATGTTTTTTTCTGTTTGTTTCTTTTAATCTTTTTTTAATTAAAAGGTTCAGATAATAAAAATAATAATAAGCCCTCATGTACCCCAAACTCAGCTTTACCAATTATCAGCTTTTGACTATTTTGTTCCTTTTTTCACTCCCCATCTCAATTATTTTGATGCAAATCACAAACACAGTATTATTGAAGTATATGTCTCTAAAAGATTTTTTTTTTTTTTTCTAAAAAGTGCCATCAAGTCAATTCTGACCCACGACGACCCCATCATGCGTCAGAACCCTGTGCTCCACAGGGTTTTCAGCGGCTGATACAAAGAGACTAGATTGTTAGGACTTTCTTTCGAGGTGCCCGAGTGGACTCAAACCTCCAATCTTTCAGTTCACAGCCGAGTGCGTTAACCATTTGCACCACCCACCAACTTCCTGTAAAAGATAAGGACTCTTTAAAAAATATATAATTACCACATAATTTAGGGAAAATTTTTAAAGTATATATTTATTATAAATGTGCATATATGCCAAAAACGTTTTCTGGAAGACAATACAAAAAAAAAATAAATGGCTCAACAGATAAATGGTAGTAGTCACCACTGGGAAGGAAACTAGTAAGAGGAGTAAGGGAGAGTTTACTATTCATCTAACAGCTTTCAGGAAATTTAACTATAACAGAACACACTATGTCTGTGTAGAAGAAAGGCTGCCATGACCAGAGGAAGACAGTGAGGCATCAGTGGACCGTACTGAAGACAGGAGGTGAAGTTTGGCTGTGAGATGCACATGGTCTTTTATGTAGATTCACACACTTGTTGTTTGCCGTCGAGTCAAATCCGACTCATAGCGACCCCTCCTTGGGTTTCCGAGGCGTATCACTACAGAAGTAGGATTGCCCAACCTTCCTTCCGAGGAGTGGCTGGTGGGTTTGAACCGCCAGCCGTCTGGTTAGCAAGCAAGTGTCTTAGCCACTATGCTACCAGAGCTCCCGATTCACACACTAGTAGGTGACAGTGTCCATCAGCTACAGCATATGAATTCTCTAAATGGGTCAAAAGTAATACAGAGTTATGAATTCAGGGACATTACTCAACAGAATTATGAGTCCAATAATGCAGGTCCAGACATTTCTATGATGAAATGCACTCATCTCAATCTCCCTATTGCCAAATCCAGCAACAGCAGGGTGATGAAATACATAATTTAAAAGAGAAAGCCTTTAAAGAGCATCTCAAAAACACTTTTTTAAAAGACATGTTTAACTGCATAACGTGGGTTAACTTGGAGGACATTATGCTGAGTGAAATAAGTAAATCACAGAAGGACAAATACAGTACTAGTTCATGATTGTAAAAAGTCAAGGAAAGGTTTATATATGGAAGGAAACTTTACTGGTTACTAAGGGAGCTCTGGGGAGCTCTGGTAGCATAGTGGCTAAGACACTTGCCTGCTAACCAGAGGGCTGGTGGTTCAAACCCACCAGCTACTCCTCGGAAGGAAGGTTGGGCAATCCTACTTCCGTAGTGATACTGCCTCGGAAACCCAAGGACGGGTCGCTATGAGTCGGGTCCGACTCCACGGCACATAACAACAACAACAACAGGGGTGGGAGGAGGAGCTCTGATGGCATAGTGTCTAAGGCATTTGACTGGTAACCAGAAGGCTGGCAGTTCAAACCCTTAGGAAGGAAGACTGGGCAATCTACTTCCATAGTGATCCTGCCTTGGAAACCCAAAGAGGGGTCGCTATGGGTCAAATCCAACTTGATGGTAGTGAGTTTGGTTTTTTGGTTCTAGGGGTGGGAGGGGAGGAGGAGAAGAGGGAACATTGAAAAAAAAAAAAAAAAGTATTGACTCATGTCAATTTCACTGTACATAAATTATATTTCAATAAAATGTATTTTTTTTTTAAATAAAAGACATGTTTAACATCTTCATTTTCTCCTATTCTTTTCCTTATCTGTACTCCTTGCAATTTTTATGCCTCGTAGATTAGGGAAAAGTGTTATTTTCTTCTTTGATGTTTCTATCTATTCTATTTGTATCTGCATCACATTTAACATAGCCTTGGGACCAACTAGGGTGGTTGCTTTAAAGAAGTCAGTCTTTGGGAGTTATTTTGGTTACCTCTAGTGCCGCTCTGACAGGAATGTACCACAAATGGGATGGCTTGAACAAACAGGAGTTTATTCTCTTACAGTTTGGGAGGCTAGAAGTCTGAGTTCAAAGTGCCAGGCTCTAGGGGCCGGGTGAAAGCCCCACAACCTTGGGCTTCAGCTCGGCCTCCTGCTCCTGGCCCACTGAAGCTAGAGGCATCTCTTCACTCAGGCAGCTGCTGACTGCTGAGGCTGACAAACCCAAGGCCAACAAGTGAAAAGGCATAGTCCCAATATTACCAAACCACACAGGCCATTGATTCAAGTCCACTGAAAGTCCCAAGATCAGCAGAGCATGGCAGGCTGCTGAACAATGACTCCGCTACACACAGGGTTCAAGCGTGCCATGAGCTGGAGACCTTCCTCAAAGCTGCTTCTTACATAAGGGAAGCAGCCCACATCCCTAAAAGCAGCTACTCAGCTGCTCCAGTAGATTCTACCATGGAGTTAATTACCAGTCACACTACAAGGAATAACTACATCCAGCTCCCTGGCCACTCAACCAGGCCCAGCCAAGTTGACACACAACCTTAATTACCACAGGAATACTTGCTTATATTGAATCTGGATACAAAAAAAAATTCCTATCTTAAAATCTCATGATTAGTTTAGTGGGGCTAACAGAAGATGAGGTTAAAAATAGAAGACTTTTAGGGCACTGTTATATTTCTGTCACAATTCTGACACTTCTGACATATCCAAAGATGTCACAAATGTAGACAAAAGTTTAAAAAAAAAAAAAAAGAATAGTCTCAATCAGACTACTTAAAATCTTAAACTTCTGAATATATACTGTATTTTGGTATATAACATGTTTATATAAATAGCTTACACATATACAACATGCATAGCACTCACAGGAAACTAATGTGTAAGGACCGTAAGCAGTTTGCAAAAATTGTATCACATATGCATGCATTATTTGCATAAAATACAGCCTGTTTTTTTTAAATATCACTTTCACTTTGAAATATCACTTGAATAAGACTAATAAAATGTTCCCCAGAAAGGTCAACAGGAAAATGTATTTAATCAACAGGCTTGTAACATTTTAGACTTTTAACTTTTTGTAAGATTGGGCATAAATACATTCTGAGAATTTTAAAATAGTTGCTTCTCTTAATCAGTTATATCTTGTCCCCAGCAACCATATTTCTTTTATTATTTTGCTTAACAAAACACAGTATTTCTAGATAATATACAGAAATAATTCTCCTAAGCTAGAAACATGAACTCTAAATAGATAATGCTTTACTGTACTTAACACCCAAGATCTACATCCATTATAAAAATGTTTACCAGAACAAGTACCTTATGTATGATCCAAAATGACAGAGCAATCTAACAATATTTTCCACACAAATCACCTAATTTCATGCCAAGAGGCTCATGTTCTTCTGTCTGGAAATGGAATTTTTCGGTCACTCTAGGGATTTACTCATTGATAATTAAAAACACCAACACAAAGTGCCACCTCAGGCTACACATTTCCCGAGGTACCTGTTTCATCCGGAGAGCTGGGGGAGGGACTGTCCTGAGACAACGTTGTCCAGCTTGACTCCTCGTCACTTGGTGCCAGGTTCTGGATCCGGTGTAGTGCACAATCAGTTTTAGCCCCGGTTTTTGGATGATCCTTCTTGGTCTCTGGACTGGATGACACTGTGGCAGCCTGGCCATCTTCAGGGCTGGACTGGGGCTTGTTTGGCTTCTGCAGCAGCAAATCCCCGTTCCCAGTGATGGTGGAGGCCTGACCCAGGCCGGGCTGCGATTTCTCTTCCACAGCCGCGTGGTGGTTGCTCAGGCTCTGCTCTAGTTCTCTGGCTGAGGTTTCCAGGTCTGCATAGTAATTGAGGAAGCTCTTGGTTCTCCTGTGCTGGGAGGGTAAAATTTCACAGCCCGAGGAGTCCTGTGGCTGGGGCTCTTTATGCTCTAACTTCTCAGAAGTTATGTTGATGACTGCAGTGGGGCTGATGTTTTTGTTGGGGTCCTGCTGCTGCCCTTGTTCTGCAGCCTTCCGGAGCTGGTTCTCCCCGTTTTTCACCAGTTTGATGTTGGCAGAGCTGTTTCCCAGCAGTGGCTGGGCAGCTGGATCTGAGAGGCCCATGGCTGCCTGGATGTTAGTCAGTGCATATTTTTTCCTGCATTTGGGGGGTGTGCTGTTCTTGGTTTCTGTGTGTTTTATTTCAGCATTCAACAGTTCATTGTGAGAGGAACGGAGATTGAGGGTATTTGGTGGTGTGGCTGGGCCGTTTCGATTCGTGACGTCTGTGGTTCCGCTGCTGGCCATAAACACTGCCAAGGAGTCTACACCTGAGTCAGCTGGAAAAAAAAAAGGAAAATGGTTATTAGACGTCTGCCACAATTAAATCACTTAGCACACAGAGCGAGGAAACATCTTTATACTGAAAACTGAAAGAATTAATGCTTCAATTGCATGATGTGTTTTCGCAGTCTGTCTGTCTGTTATTTGCCGTCGAGTTGGCCCCGACTCATAGCGACCCCTCCTTGGGTTTCGGAGGCAGTATCACTACGGAAGTAGGATTACCCAATCTTCCTTCCGAGGAGTGGCTGGTGGATTTGAACCGCCAGCCTTCTGGTTAGCAGTCAAGTGCCTTAGGCATTATGCTACCAGAGCTCCTGTTTTCGCAGTAGTAACCCATTTTTTTCTTCATCTCACCATTTGCTCATATTAAATAAAAGTCAATAAAGGGCTTAATGCAGATACACAAAAGTCAATTTATAGAAAAGCTTAAGAGGTCCGAAGGTCCACATTTTACTTAGAATGAGAAAGCATTCTCTTCTGAATTCATGCAACAGCAATTTCTTCTGGCGGCTGGTCTTCATTATCCACAACCTCGACCATCATCCCCTTCTAAACATTCACACCACACTTCTATTCTGTAATTCCTTCAGGCAACAAGGACAAACAAAAACTGCTACAAATTCCTCTGGGCTCTGGCTCTCTTAATTAACCTGAGAGGTCATTGTTCAATGATGCTCCATTAGTCCAAGGTAATTTTTCTTAACCATGTTTAGAAATCGTGTCCTAAATGCCTGGAAAATCAAGCCACTCTTTTAGAGATGGCAAATGTCTTTGCGAACATTTTTTACCTCACCATAGTGTCTATACTAAACAGAAAGTTTGAGGGAACGGGTTAATTTCTCAAGAACACACACACACACACACACACACACACATCACTACTACTGTAGCACTGAGCCTTGGGCTACAGACACCATGTTAAGAGTCCCGAAAGGAGTCTGAATACATTCCTACGAATTAAAACCCAGACTCAGCTGTTTGCAGTCATCTTGTGCCCTCACAGAACTCCTAGGAAACTATCGGACAGCTGCACTCATAGCAAATATTGTGCACACCCTCACTGATTTATTCCGTATGTCTCTTGCGAGGAAGAAAGGAAAGTTCCTCAGACTAGCAAGGGCATCAAACCCATCAGCAAGAATTCCTAAGGCTTCAGATTTCTCTGCCTGTGAGGAATGGCTTCTTTCTTATCCCATCCTTTGCCTTCCACGGAGCCCTCTTGGTTCTACAACAGCAGCAGAGGAACAGTAGCAGGACTCCCGACATTCCTGAAATTGTATTCTGACAACTCCCTCTTCTTCCCCCAGGCAAAACAGTGACTCCAACAGAAGAGGAGGGCAAGAATTTTCCCCTACTGGGGAGCTTATTTCTATCATCAAATACTCAGGGTGGGCAATTTTTTAAAACAGTCACTCACTCCTTCTGGAATCCATAAACTAGGTAATGTGCAGACTCTTTAAACCAAAACCACACTCACTGCTATCGAGTTGATTCTGACTCATAGCGACCCCCTTTGGACTTCCGAGGTGGTAAATCTCTACGGAAGTAGATTGCCCAGTCTTCCTTCCATGGAGTGGCTGGTGGGTTTGAACCACCAACCTCTGGTTAGCAGGCAAATGCCTTAGGCACTACACCACCAGAGCTCCTTTAAGCAATGCCTATTATTTTTTATGGAGTGAGTGTATCTACAGACTGAAACCCAAAGGGGTTAGAACTCAGACCCCATTCTTTAAACTTGTTATTTATAAGGATTCCTGTCTACTTATCTTCCCACCTCAGCTTTTGGACCTCATTTTATGATAATAGAGAACCTAGTATGTTTCTTCTTTTTAAACAGTATGCTGATAATTGAGTTTTCTTTTAGTTGTTTTGTCTTCTCTTTTGTTTACTGATACCATCTGATGGAAAACACTTGTTTCAGTTTATAATTCAACTTCAGTCAGCAGTAGCATTTGAGAAGAAAAGGGCCAAACATGGACCCCAAAGACGTTTTCTCTGAGACAAATTTCCACAACATACACAGAGAAAAGGAAATTATATTTAGACTCTTGGTCCTTAAGGAGCCCTGGGGGCAAGTGGTTAAAGCACTTGGCTGCTAACCAAAAGGCTAGTGGTTCAAACACACCACCTGCTCCACAGGAAGAAGATGAGGCAGTCTGCTTCCATAGATTTATAGCCTTGGAAACCCTGTGGAGCAGTTCCACTCTATCATATACAGTCTCTATGAGTCAGAATCAACCCAATGACAGAGGGTTTCTGTTTATTTGTTCGTTTGTTTGGGTACTTAAACAACAAAGGAGTTGGGTTTCTGAGGGCTTAATTATGAGGCAAAACTACATTCCTCAGGTTTAAGGAGGAGGAGGCTTGTGTTTTTATTGAAGGGAAAGAAAATCTTATCATGTCTCTTTAAACCTTCTATTATTTAGCTGTTTCTTTTGGAATGAAAAGCCCGAACTCCTTAAGGTGACAGACAAGTAACTAACTCCCTGTGTCTTTGACTGTAAAATGGGAATGACAATAATAGTATCTATGTCATTTTGGGGAGCTCTGGTGGCATAGTGCCTAAGGCACTTGATTGCTAACCAGAAGAGTATGGTTCAAACCCCCCAGCCACTCCTAGGAAGGAAGGTTGGGCAATCTACTTCCACAGAGATACAGCCTCAGAAACCCAAGGAGAGGTCGCTATGAGTCAGATCCAACTCGATGGCAGTGTGTTTGGTTTGGTTGGTATGTCATTTTGAGCTGTGAACTGAGAGGAATAACTTAAGTATTTAACATAATGCCTGGCATATTATAAGAGCTCAATAAATGTTGTCATTGTTGCATGCCGTCAAGCTGGCTGCAACTCTTGGCAATGTCATGTATAACAGACAAAACGCTGCCCGGTCCCGCACCATCCTCACGATCACTGGTATGTCTGAGTCCACTACTGTTTATAGCTTCCTCTTTCCCTGTACACTTTTGTTGCCGCCCACCACACCACGCTACCATTTAGTGAGTGCTTTCTTCTTCCCTGACACTGTGTTGGGAATGAGGAAACAAAGACACACAAGACCAGTCCCTGAACTCTAAGTGCTTTCAGCCCAGTGGAAGACAAACCCATGGGCAACAAACAAATGAACACAAATGTTAATGGTGCAGAAACAGAAGTCCATCGGGGCTGAAGGGGGAGGGCAAAAGAGGAAATGGTCTCACCTCAGGACAGCGAAGATTTCAAGGGAAGAGAGGGTGGGTTTGCTACATCAGGGAAGCCTGAGCAAATCAAGAATGAAAAGAGAGGTAGCAGAAGCAGGCAGAGTCCAATAAGGCATGCTCCAAGAGTTTGGACTTGACCCTGTGCAGAAAAGGTCAAACACTTCGCAGCAGCATGCAGGGCAACATGGAGGCTGAGGGGTGTGTGTGTGTGTGTGTGTGTGTGTGTGTATGATACACATGTGTATGCTGGGGGAGACATTTTTCCCTCAGTACATTCTCCAAGAAGGAGATGAGTACAAAGAAAAGGCATTAGAGAAACACTGTAAATTCAGACAATTCTGTTTTAAATTACACCAGTCTTCACCAGAAGAACAGTGGAAGGAAGCAGAACAAGGCTCTCGCTCACTAACCAAAGAAACAGCTGGGCCTATCTCATGTTCACTGTGGAGTTAGAAAGTGACTCTGCTTCTTAACCAAGGGGAATAAGACTTGCAGCATGAAGACTAGTTGGAAGGCTACTGCAATAGTCCAGTCTAGCCTGTAGGGAGAGGACAGTGTGGGCATTACGGGCTAGGGAAGGGGAAGGAGCTTCTCCCTCTCACTGACGGAGTTTTGACTCTGGCCACTCATCTCTTGACCAGAGCATGAAGATGAGGTTCCCATTATTGTTGTTGTTGTTGTTATGTGCCATCGAGTCAGACCCAACTCATAGGGAACCCTCCTTGGGTTTCTGAGGCAGTATTACTATGGAAGTAGATTGCCCCATCTTCCTTCCAAGGAGTGGCTGGTGGGTTTGAACCTCCAGCCTCTGGTTAGCAGTCAAGTGCCTTAGGCACTAAGCTACCAGAGCTCCTGAGGTTCCCATTAGCCACCTGCATTTAGAGGTGAAGGCTAAAAAGAGTCCAGTGAACTCAATGATTGGGATACTGGTGACTTCAGGCAAAGTCTAGGGCAGAGACTGACTTTTAAGGAACTTGACTATGAACAAAGTGGAGAAGAAAGAACTGGGGGATGAGCCAGGGTTATGGGAAGGGATACTTCCTTCTTCAAGGTGCCTCTTGGCTATGTTTTTTATTGATTTAAAAAAAAAAAAAAAAAACAACCCACTGCCTTGAGTGGAGGCTCACAGCGAGCCCTCCTTGGGTTTCGAATAAATTAGCCCCTAGGGTTTCCAAGGCTGTAAATCCTTATGAAAGCAGACTGCCTCATCTTTCTCTTGCAGAGCTGCTGGTAGGTTCAAACC